TCGCGAAAGTGTGGCTATTGGGGAGGCTCGTTAAGAAAAAAAAAAAGTAGGTAGTAGCAGCGAGCCTTCGACATCAGGTTTCCCATGGCCGCATGTCACCATAACCTAGCCCTCGATGCTGCACACAGCAGGAACGAGAACGACAAGAGAAGGGCATATGGGGAGAGAATTCAAAACGTTGATCAAGGCAGCTTCACTCCTCTAGTGTTCACAACCTCTGGTGGGATGGGACCAAGTGCAAGATGTTTCTACGCCAGACTCACGGAGGTGATATCCGAACAGAAGCAGCAGCCCAGAAGTTATGTTACAGCCTGGATGAGATGTCGACTGTCCTCTATCCTTCGGTCGGCTTTGCTCTGCCTCAGGGGAACAAGAGCATCGGCCCCAAAGCCGACAACAGTTGCAGCTATTGACTATGAGGCAACATGAGGCAACAGTCACTGAATGCCGCATAGATCTGCGGCTCAACTAACTCAACACAGCTAGGGTAGCTACTTATGTATTAAGATATTTAATATTAAGGTAATAAAATGGTGGCGAAGGTATGGCTATTGGGGGAGGCTGGAGGTCATTGGAAAAAATAAATAAAAAAAGTAGCAGTAGTAGTAGTTGTAGTAGCAGCTAGGGTAGCTACTTATGTATTAGGGTGCTTAATTTTAAGGTAATAAAATGGAGGCGAAGGTGTGGCTATTGGGGGAGGCTGGAGGCCATTTTTATTATAAAAAAAAGCTTTAGTAGTAATAGCAGTAAAATCACTAATGGTCGTAGAGACATAAGTGATTTTAGTTTCTCATTAATATTTGACGTAATATCACACACTTTACCCCGACCTCCCCTTCTACAGGGAAAGAGAACAGGAGCCTCACCCTCTGTGAAATGGTGATGGAGCCTCTGACGTCAGAGCTAGGCATCTCAGCGTTGGGTTCCAAGGTGCAGGTAGCTCGTCTCCAGGGATCATTTGGTTTCCTCTCCGGTGCTTCTGGAGACCCGAGTGACTGCTCCTCGCCATCTTCACTGTGCTGGTGATGATGACTGCCTCTCCCGTGGCCCCTTCCACCGTGACCATGACCGTGTCCACGCTCGTGACCGTGGCCGTGTTCTTTTCCATGCTCATGGCCGTGTTCGTGGTATTCGTCGTAGTCCTGATGGAGGCCATGATGGTCGTGGGCGTCTTCATCATGGCCCAGTGTGTGGTGGCTCTGTGGGGGAATTAAAGCGTCTCGTGATTCCTGGCAACCTGTTAGTTTTGACTGATAACGACTTCCAAGGTCAAGCAAATTTAATAATTGGCCCGATGTGTGTGTGTGTGTGTGTGTGTGTGTGTGTGTGTGTATGTGTTAGGCTTCGTTGTGGTGAGATCCCCTAGAGGACTCGGGTGTTAATTAACATGTACTTAATATGTTTACCAAAGTGACCGAATGAAAGGTGTAGATGACATGACGTCTCTGGACAAACCTTTCGTCTGATCATTAGATTTTGTGATTTTAAAGTGTACACGACAGTTTACACTTCAAGTTGATAGTTAAGCTGTCCAGAGAAAAAAGCAATTACAGTTATCCTACGAGATTCAGCGAACATCTGCTTGAATAACACTGCAATCACATAAACCAGTCATACCAACCAGCTGTGACGTTACGATCAGTTGATATGTAAAAAGAACACGAAAGAGTTTTGACCTTGAAGGGTGAAGGACCCACCTCATCTCCATGGTCGGAGTGGTCATCATCGTCGGCCCCTTCATCATGGTCATCGTCTTCACCATCGTTTTCCTCAGCGCTTTCGCCTTGCTGGTTCTGGTCACTGCTCTCCTGGTGCCCCTGATGCTGGGCGTGGCCATGGTAGGTGTTGAGGTGACTGTGAGAGAGAATGGTGGAGAGAGTGTTATGGTAGGTGTTGAGGTGACTGAGAATGGTGGAGAGAGTGTTATGGTAGGTGTTGAGGTGACTGAGAGAAGAAGATTGGAGAGTGTTATGAAGGACTGAGGAGGTGACTGTGAGAGAGAATGGTGTGGTTATGGTAGGAGTTGAGGTGACTGTGAGAGACAATGGTGAAGGAGTGTTATGGTAGGTTGAGGTGACTGTGAGAGAGAATGGTGGAGAGATGTTATGGTAGGTGTTGGAGGACAGGAGAGAGAATGGTGAAAGAGCTAGTAGGTGTTGAGGTGACAGTGGGTGTGGGGTGACTGAGAGAGAGAGAGGCTGGGTGGAGAGTGTGGACTGAGGTGACTGAGAGAGAATGGTGTGGAGAGTGTTATGGTAAGGAGTTGAGGTGACAGAGAGAGAATGGTGGAGAGAGTGTTATGGTAGGAGTTGAGGGACAGAGAGAGAATGGTGGAGAGAGTGTTGGTGGAAAGGAGGCAAGACTGAGAGAGAGAAGGTGACTGAGGACTGTGAGAGAGAATGGTGAAGAGAGTGTTATGGTAGGAGTTGAGGTGACAGAGAGAGAATGGTGGAGAGAGTGTTATGGTAGGAGTTGAGGTGACAGAGAGAGAGAATGGTGGAGAGAGTGTTATGGTAGGTGCGGGTGACTGAGAGGAGAGAATGGTGAAGAGTGTTATGGTAGGAGCTGAGGTGACAGAGAGAATGGTGAAGAGGAGTTATGGTAGGTGTTGAGGTGACTGTGAGAATGGTGAAAGAGGTGTTATGGTAGGTTTGAGTGACCGTGAGAGAGAATGGTGGAGAGAGTAAGCATGGTAGGGTTGAGGTGGACTGAGAGAGAGAATGGTGAAAGAGAGTTAGGAGGTGTTGAGGACAGAGAGAGAATGTTGGAAGATGTTATGGTAGAAAAGGAGGTGACTGTGAGAGAATGGTGGAGAGAGTGTTAGCAGGTGCTGAGGTGACAGAGAGAGAATGGTGGAGAGAGTGTATGGTAGGTGTTGAGGTGACAGAGAGAGAATGGTGGAGAGAGGTTATGGTAGGTGTTGAGGTGACAGAGAGAGAATGGTGGAGAGTGTTATGGTAGGTGTTGAGGTGACTGAGAGAATGGTGGAGAGAGTAGGTAGGTGTTGGAGGTGACAGAGAGAGAATGGTGGAGAGAGTGTTATGGTAGGTGTTGAGGTGACTGGAGAGAATGGTGGAGAGAGTGTTATGGTAGGTGTTGAGGTGACAGAGAGAGAATGGTGGGAGAGGTGCTGGTAGGTGTTGAGGTGACTGAGAGAGAGAATGGTGAAGAGAGTGTGAGGTGTGAGGACAGAGAGATGGTGAGAGAGGTTATGGTAGGTGTTGAGGTGACAGAGAGAATGGTGGAGAGAGTGTTATGGTAGGTGCTGAGGTGACAGAGAGAGAATGGTGGAGAGAGTGTTGGTAGGAGTTGAGGGGAGAGGAGAATGGTGGGAGAGAGTGTTATGGTAGGTGCTGAGGTGACAGAGAGAGAATGGTGGAGAGAGTGTTGGTGTAGGTGGTGACTGAGAGAGAATGGTGAGAGAGTGTTATGGTAGGTGTTGAGGTGACAGAGAGAGAATGGTGGAGAGAGTGTTATGGTAGGTGTTGAGGTGACTGAGAGAGAATGGTGGAGAGAGGTCAGTAGGTGTTGAGGTGACTGAGAGATGGTGAGAGAGTGTTGGTAGGGGTGCTGAGGTGACAGAGAGAAATGGTGGAGAGAGGTTATGGTAGGAGTTGAGGTGACTGAGAGAATGGTGGAGAGAGTGTTAGGTAGGAGTTGAGGACTGAGAGAATGGTGGAGAGGAGGGTTGAGGTGACTGAGAATGGTGGAGAGAGGTTATGGTAGGGTTGGAGGTGACTGGAGAATGGTGGAGAGAGTGTTATGGTAGGTGTTGAGGTGAGAGAGAGAATGGTGGAGAGAGTGTTATGGTAGGTGCTGAGGTGATGAGAATGGTGGAGAGAGTGATGGCAGGAGTGGAGGTGACTGTGAGAATGGTGGAGAGAGTGTTATGGTAGGTGGAGGTGACTGGGAGAATGGTGGAGAGAGTGTTATGAGGTAGGAGGACTGAGAGAATGGTGGAGAGTGTTATGGTAGGTGTTGAGGTGACTGAGAGAGAATGGTGGAGAGAGGTTATGGTAGGTGTTGAGGTGACTGAGAGAATGGTGGAGAGAGGCAGTAGGGTGTTGAGGTGACTTGAGAGAATGGTGGAGAGAGTGTTAGGCAGGAGTGAGACTGAGAGAATGGTGGAGAGAGTAAGTGGTAGGTGTTGAGGTGACTGAGAGAATGGTGAGAGAGTGGTAGGGTTGAGGTGACTGAGAGAATGGTGGAGAGAGTGTTATGGTAGGTGTTGAGGTACTGAGAGAATGGTGGAGAGAGTGTTATGGTAGGTGTTGAGGTGACTGGAGAGAATGGTGGAGAGAGTGTTATGGTAGGTGTTGAGGTGACTGTGAGAGAATGGTGGAGAGAGTGTTATGGTAGGTGTTGAGGTGACTGAGAGAATGGTGGAGAGAGTGTTATGGTAGGTGTTGAGGTGACTGGAGAGAGAATGGTGGGAGAGAGTGTTATGGTAGGTGTTGAGGTGACTGAGAGAATGGTGAAGAGAGTTATGGTAGGTGTTGAGGTGACTGTAGAGAGAATGGTGAAGAGAGTGTTATGGTAGGTGTTGAGGTGACTGAGAGAATGGTGAAGAGAGTGTTATGGTAGGAGTTGAGGTGACTGAGAGAATGGTGGAGAGAGTGTTATGGTAGGAGTTGAGGTGACTGAGAGAATGGTGGAGAGAGTGTTATGGTAGGTGTTGAGGTGACTGTGAGAGAGAATGGTGAAGAGAGTGTTATGGTAGGTGTTGAGGTGACTGGAGAGAGAATGGTGGAGAGAGTGTTATGGTAGGAGTTGAGGTGACTGGAGAGAGAATGGTGGAGAGAGTGTATGGTAGGTGTTGGACGGAGAATGGTGGAGAGGGAGGTGTTGAGGTGACTGTGAGAATGGTGGAGAGAGTGTTATGGTAGGTGTTGAGGTGACTGTGAGAGAGAATGGTGGAGAGTGTGTTATGGTAGGTGTTGAGGTGACTGAGAGAGAGAATGGTGGAGAGTTATGGTAGGTGTTGAGGACTGTGAGAGAGAATGGTGGAGAGAGTATGGTAGGTGTGAGGTGACTGGAGAAGAATGGTGGAGAGAGTGTTAGGGGGGAGAATGTGGAGAGAGTGTTTGGTAGGGGTTGAGGTGACTGTGAGAATGGTGGAGAGAGTGTTATGGTAGGTGTTGAGGTGACTGAGAGAGAATGGTGAGAGTGTTATGGTATGTGTTGAGGACAGAGAATGGTAGAGTGTTATGTTAGGAGTTGAGGTGACTGGAGAATGGTGAGAGAGTGTTATGGTAGGTGTGAGGTAGAGAGAAATGTGGAGAGTGTTATGGTAGGTGGAGGTGACTGAGAGAATGGTGGAGAGAGTGTATGGTAGGGTGTTGAGGTGACTGAGGGAATGGTGAGAGAGTGTTATGGTAGGTGTTGAGGTGACTGTGAGAGAATGGTGGGAGAGAGTGTTATGGTAGGTGTTGAGGTGACTGAGAGAGAATGGTGAGAGTGTGGAGTTGGGACGGAGAATGGTGGAGAGGGTTATGGTAGGTGTGGGGTGACTGAGGAGAATGGTGGAAAGAGTGTTATGGTAGGTGTTGAGGTGACTGTGAGAGAGAATGGTGGAGAGAGTGTTATGGTAGGTGTTGAGGTGACTGTGAGAGAATGGTGAAGAGAGGTTATGGTAGGTGTTGGGTGACTGGAGAGAATGGTGGAGAGAGTTGCTTATGGTAGGTGTTGAGGTGACTGTGAGAGAGAATGGTGGAGAGAGTGTTATGGTAGGTGTTGAGGTGACTGTGAGAGAGAATGGTGAAGAGAGTGTTATGGTAGGTGTTGAGGTGACTGTGAGAATGGTGGAGAGAGTGTTATGGTAGGAGTTGAGGTGACAGAGAGAGAATGGTGGAGAGAGTGTTATGGTAGGAGTTGAGGTGACAGAGAGAGAATGGTGGAGAGAGTGTTATGGTAGGAGTTGAGGTGACTGAGAGAATGGTGGAGAGAGTGTTATGGTAGGTGTTGAGGTGACTGAGAGAGAATGGTGGAGAGAGTGTTATGGTAGGAGTTGAGGTGACTGAGAGAATGGTGGAGAGAGTTTTTATAAAATCATTGGGGAAAATAAAGGTAGATACCTGAGAAAAGCGACAGAGCAAATTCCTATGTCAATAGTACCGATGATAACGGTATAGTAATTGCAGTGATGGTAATGATAGTGATGGTAATGATAATGATGATAATGAAGATAATGATGGTGTTAGTGGACATGGTAATGGTGGTTTATAGCTTTACTACTCATGGTGACGGATGGTGAGGGTGACAATAGTGATGGTGGAGTTCACAACACACAACTAAACTTAATGGTTTTTACCTTTCCCCGTGTGGTGTTCCCCTACAGGAGTACAATATATCATTTCTTATCACAGAAGCATGTGGGGGTCGCTAGAAAAAACTAAAAAACTAATAGAGAATCCAATGTTAAGTTTCCAAACAGCAAGCAGTCTAGCTATTAGCAAAGGGTTGCCTGTGGGACAACGGCACTAAAACATTATATTATGAAAGACGGCACAAGCCGAACCTATCTAGAAGTAACCCAAGATGGTTAATTTGGTTTTAAATTACTTTGAATTGGGTGTGTTTGGTTCATGTCATCTTTCACAAATAATTTGATCCCGTAGTCCCACAAACAGCTATTTGTAAACAAATTTGTAGCCGAGTTCTTGGATGAGTATTCAATGAGAACTTCGGTAAAAAAAAATCGTTCATCGTCAGTTTCTATATGAATAAAAAAATTTTTATTAATTCCTTTTCAAAAAAATTCAGGAAATCGCAAACAAGACAACCAACATGAAAATAGTGAAGTTAATTATGATGATGATGATAATGATAGTGCGATGGTGTATTCACAATAACAAGTTATTTTGTGATAGTGAAGCTATTAATGATGAAGATAGTGATGTTATAGTCATGGAAATAGTGATATATAAGCAGTGTACCTACTTTAACAGTTCACCATCATGGTGATCGTTGTGGCTTTCGTGAGGTCGGCGAAGATGGTGAACGTGGTGCTCGTGGTGCAGGACGCCCGTCTCTCTCAGAATCTGCAACACATGCCAAGAATAAACACCCCCCCCCACACACACATATATATATATATATATATATATATATATATATATATATATATATATATATATATATATATATATATATATATATATATATATATATATATATATATATATATATATATACACTTGTACTTGCGTTTTAAAGTTATATCAAGAATTCAAACTTGACAAGCTACTGTTTACGGAGCCTGTGTGTAGAGAGACCTTACCTACACTTTAGTACTAAAAAATAGATAACGTCAGCCAGTTGAGGTTCAGTGCCTTGAAGATCTGACTAAATTTTAAACCTTAATGTCGTCTTAACTTAAAAAAAACACCAAATGTTGATGCATGTGTAAAGTGACTCCTGATAGTTCCCGGGAAATTCCTTTCCAACGGCAACTAATTATAAGACCCATAGTCTTATTGGGCCCTAGTGTTAAGGGGTTCCAATCCTATTAGGCCTGAATCTTAATGGTTAGGTTAGGATGGGACGATTAGTACCAGGCTCCATTGATTTACAACGTTTCCTATTATCTTTCAGAAAATAATGTATTCACCATATTATTATCATAATCTGACGTCTTTACACCAGAGTCGAGCGAGTAAAACAGATCTTGATAAATCCGGAGACTTTCTCGGCCATCATGCAGAAACCAGCAGATGACCACAGTGCTTGGTGGGTGCAGCGGGTGTTGGGGTAAAGCCCTCTTAACTTACCTTATCAAGATGTTGGGGAACTTGAACTGGAGGGCTATGAGGTGATTTTGTTTTGTGGGGAATTGTCTGGTAAAAATTTTAAAGTGGGAATTAGTCAGGTAATATTTTTCCCCCAGGACACATCACCTGTGCGTCAGTGTACTCACGTTGTCGTGGTCGGACTCGTCGTGGTCCTGGTGTAGGTGGTGGTTCACCTCCTGACGCAGGTCATTTACCTCCTCCCACAGGGCCGAGATGTTTTTCAGCAAGAAGTTCACTTCTTGACGTTCCTCTGTCAAAATCAAAACAGGATGGACATTAATTATAGCATAAATGTCAGATTGTAGTCATAAAATCCTATATATACTCTTGATAATTACGTGTTGGTCTTTTAGTTTTAATATTTTGAAAATTATCATAACACAAAAAAAAACCCCGCGAGGATACTTCTAATTAATATGCACCACGCCTCGCCGTTCATGGAATGGTGAATTTACTTCGACTCGTCAAAACAACTCTCTCTCAGTTATGCCTCGCCTGTTCAGGAAAGTCTCATTTTCTATGAACACATAACAATATTGTTGAGGGATAACTGCTTCATTTATTGTTTAATCGCCAAATGTTCTTGAAACTTTCTGAGCACGAGGACTTCATAAATACCTATCTATTGATAACAAACAAACACCTTGTCACCCTAAAATATGTGTTAAGAGTTAAATGGTTGGAGTTTGTAAGTCTTTCCTGCCTAACAAGTTCAGTAACCCACAAACCAAAATTTTAATTGTTGATGGACTATGAAATTATTAACATTGTTACACTCTTAAGTTTCTTAGTTGTTGAAGTACAATAATAGCGTTAGAACCATAAATGTACTGGATATAGTCTTTAATGTATAACAGAGGCCATCTCCTGACCTCTAACACTTTACAGGAGAGACCTGCTGTTTAATGTTACTGAATCAAGTAATTTGGCCAGTGACACAGTGCAGGTATACAAACAATTTACTGTACACTCGGAGTCAAAAGCTTGCTCCCTCCCAAAAATAAAGCAGTTTCTTCCCCAAAAAAAAAAATAATAATAATAAATAAATAAATAAATCATAATAATAATAAAAAAATAAAAAAATAAAAAAAATGAGAAGAAACAGCACACCCGCATCGGACGACAAACAGGGTACAGTATGTCAGTTCGGAGGCTCATTCCCGTGACTCAGTTTCACTACAGGGAGCGGACTGTAGTGTACATAGACAGTACAAGGTATACTGACATGTCCGTCCGTCCGTCCGTCCGTTAAACACCATGATTCTGACATGTTCGTCCGTCAAACACCATGATTCTGACATGTCCGTCCGTCAAACACCATGATTCTGACATGTCCGTCCGTCAAAAACTATGATTCTGACATGTTCGTCCGTCAAACACCATGATTCTGACATGTCCGTCCGTCAAAAACTATGATTCTGACATGTTCGTCCGTCAAACACCATGATTCTGACATGTTCGTCCGTCAAACACCATGATTCTGACATGTCCGTCCGTCAAACACCATCATTCTGACATGTCCGTCCGTCAAAAACTATGATTCTGACATGTTCGTCCGTCAAACACCATGATTCTGACATGTCCGTCCGTCAAACCTGCATAGTTCTGACATGTCCGTCGTCGAAACTATGATTCTGACATGTGTTCGTCCGTCAAACACCATGATTCTGACATGTCCGTCCGTCAAAACTATGATTCTGACATGTTCGTCCGTCAAACACCATGATTCTGACATGTCCGTCCGTCAAACACCATGATTCTGACATGTCCGTCCGTCAAACACTATGATTGACGGCCGTCCGTCAAAACTATAGTTCTGACATATTTCCGTCCGTCAAACACCGCCGGATTCTGACATGTCCGTCCGTCAAACACCATGATTCTGACATGTCCGTCCGTCAAAAACTATGATTCTGACATGTTCGTCCGTCAAACACCATGATTCTGACATGTCCGTCCGTCAAAAACTATGATTCTGACATGTTCGTCCGTCAAACACCATGATTCTGACATGTTCGTCCGTCAAACACCATGATTCTGACATGTCCGTCCGTCAAACACCATGATTCTGACATGTCCGTCCGTCAAAAACTATGATTCTGACATGTTCGTCCGTCAAACACCATGATTCTGACATGTCCGTCCGTCAAAAGCCTGATTCTGACATGTTCGTCCGTCAAAACACCGCAGTTCTGACATGTTCGTCCGTCAAACACCATGAGTTCTGACATGTCCGTCGTCAAACACCATGATTTCCTGACATGTCCGTCCGTCAAGCTATGATTCTTTCCTGTCTATCCGTCAAACACCATGATTCTGACATGTCCGTCCGTCAAACACCATGATTCTGACATGTCCGTCCGTCAAACACTATGATTCTGACATGTCCGTCCGTCAAAAACTATGATTCTGACATGTCCGTCCGTCAAACACTATGATTCTTTCCTGTCTATCCGTCAAACACCATGATTCTGACATGTCCGTCCGTCAAACACCATGACTGACATGTCCGTCCGTCAAACACTATGATTCTGACATGTCCGTCCGTCAAAAACTATGATTCTGACATGTCCGTCCGTCAAACACTATGATTCTTTCCTGTCTATCCGTCAAACACTATGATTCTGACATGTCCGTCCGTCAAACACTATGATTCTTTCCTGTCTATCCGTCAAACACCATGATACTGACCTGTCCATCCGTCAAAAACGATCATACTGTCATGTCCGTCCGTCCATCCGTCAAACACTATGATTCTGTCCTGTCTGTCCGCTAAACACGATGATACTGTCATGTCTGTCCGTCCATCCGTCAAACATTGTAATTCTGACCTGTCCGTCCGTCCATCCGTCCGTCAAACACTATGATTCTGTCCTGTCTGTCCGCTAAACACGATGATACTGTCATGTCTGTCCGTCCATCCGTTAAACACTGATACTGACATGTCCGGCCGTCAAACACTATGATTCTGTCTTATCCGTCAGTTATGTATACAGTGGACATGGAGTTGTCGCAATATAAAACACAGTGACTCTGTTCCAAGTAGGTTTGTTTGTGGAAGTTCACTATCTACGGCTACAGTGTTGAAAACAGAGCTGAAATTTGGCATGTAGATGCTCATTCATCCCAGGAATAACACGAAGTGTATTTAACCTGGTTCTAAGTCCAGTCTACAGTTTACCTACAACTAAGAGGTCACTTAAGAGTACAGTTTACATGGGTGGAAGAGGTACATCAGTTTACCTGGCTGGTCACGGTCACGCGCGTGTAGAGGTTGTCCTTGTGGCACCACCTGAAGCGTGACCACCTTCCTCAGCGGCGGCCGAGTACTCACTCGACACTCATAATCGCCGGCGTCGTAGGAGCGGACGCCAGAGATCCTGAGGAAGCCCGTCTCCGTCTGGTCCTCGGAGCTCGGCAAGAAACGAGAATCGCCAACGAGGACGGTCGAGTCGATGGCGATGACACGGTTATCCTTCTGTCGTATCCAGGACACGGAGTGGCCGCCCAGGTTCTGGACGCGACACAGCAGGAAGGCGTCACTCCCATCGTGGACGCTGACGAGGGGCGGGGTGCTCGGGTCTATGGTTGTCGCTAACAGCCCCTGCCGGATCTTTCTCTGGACTTTCACTCGACGTCTCAAGGCTTCGTACTTCCCCGTGTTAGGAGACCGTTTCTCTCTGCCCCTCCCCACGCCACTAACAGCTTCCAGTTCGCTAAAAGTTCCTCCCTCCACGTGGCTCGCTGCGTCCACATTGTTCCACGCCCTCCATCCCTCACCATGTTCAGCTTCCAAGTTATTCCAGGTGTGCTGACTGGAGCAGGGGAACTGGGAGGACCACCTGCCAGACACACACAATAACACATGTTGTACTGACCCGCATCTGACGAGAGACACGCGTCCTTCCACAACCACGCTAACTACAGCATCGTCAGGAATTTCGAGGGGGGGACATGGTGGTCCGGACTCCTGAGGGACCTTAGGCGGCGCCCCGCTCACTAGGACACACGCACACAACACCGGTAATAAAATCTTCGCCATCATGCGGTAAAAGGTCGCTTGCGATGGGAGACCACACAAGGAAGCTGTGTTGCAGATGCGGTCCCGGTGACAACTGCTGAGGGTGCCGCTAGCCAGGTCAGCTAAAAATAATTTAGTCCAGTTTATTTACAACGCAGTTATGAAAATTGCCCGAGAACGGACTGGTTGGTGAGTGAAGGCTGGTCAGCGTCTAGTTCCTTCTGGGGCAGGTGAAGGCTGGTTTAACTTTTTTCCAGATTAAACGAGCCAGTCTAAGCTGGCCAGACCCGCCCCCGGCTATCCTGGCGCCTACCACATCCTACCAGAAGTTCCCTCCTGTTATCTTACAGCAGGATGAACAACATCCTCACAATACAGGAAGAGAATTTATCACTTTTAAAGTGGTTTTGTGTGACTCTGATCAGCTAGCAGCGTTATGTACTGTACTGTACACAGTTAAGGTGAGTATTACATCACAAGGACGTTGACCTGAAACACAGGTGGCAGAATCTCTTCAACCGTTAATAACCTATTTAAATAACTCTTAATAACACTTTAACTAAAACATTTTAACAAACAACAAGAATATCATAAAGAAATCTATTCTTGTTATCAAGCTTCAAGAAACTATTTTACAATTTATCCAAGAACTTCAAAATAAGGATTGCTTATAAACGGTTAATCTAAGAATATTGTAGTAATAATATACAGAACAGTTGAGCCAGCCAGTTCATAGCTGGAACACCTAAAAACCCTTAACTGAAGATACTTAAAATATGGAATACCTAAAGAACGCGACTTAAAGAATAAAAAAAACATGGAACCCTTTAGGACTAATAATCATCAGGACTAGGGCCCATTAGACGAGGGGTCGATTGGGAGTAGGGCCCACTAAGACGAGGGGGCCCAGTGGGAGTAGGGCCCATTAGGACTAGAAACCATTAAAACTAGGACAGTTACGTTAAGCTGGAGACACTCCGCTCTGGGGCCCATATAACCAGACAACACCCGGCCAGAAGACGTCGCTTATGAAACCATGTAAGGTATAGAGACAGGTCGACGCCAGGGCTGAGGGTACTAACGGTGCGTGTGTGTGTGTGTGTCGCCCAGGTAACCTTCTGCCGGCAGTGACGGTATCTGACCAACTTTCACTGCATAAGGGAAAGTTGAGACACCTAATTTACCTGTATGCTATTTATATACACTTACGTTGGTTTTTGTTAAGGCAGCCACACGCGACTAAAAATAACTCTTCTTATCTGGAGATTTACGTTTTGGTGAGTAGATGTAGTAAGGAAAATTTTATTATATACTTAACCCATATAAAGTATAGGATCACCTGTTGATTAGCGTCCCCACCTCCTGCTTATTTCACCTGATGATTAAACACCATAACGGTATCTGAGGAGTTAAGTTAGCGTTAAATTAGGATAGGGTTAGGTTATGGTTGCTAATCTTAAGGTGAAATAACCTGGGGTGGTTTATCTTCAGGTTAATCGAAGTAAAGTATGTAAGAAAACCATTATTTCCTCGCCCCTACACTACAGAAACGCCACTTATAATATTTTACTCAGTTTACGCCAGACGATTTCATTCAACTGCGAGAGGAACCCGCACACAAGGGAGCTAGTTTAACGTGCTGTACATAGAGAGAACACACCTACAGGGCGCTAAGTCAAATTCATCAAGATAATTACATGATTTTTTTATATAAGTTCCCACGACATGTGTTCATACATAACCCCATAAACAGGTACACAGTGTTCCTCCCTTACGCCTCTACTGCACGACTCTGCTGTTCCTTCTTGATTACATTTGATACTGTACAGGGTGACCCAAAAGTTTGTGCTCACCGGCGGGATTCATCATTGACCTTTATTTCATATGATCAGAGGGGTTCAAATTGCATAAAATGAACTGAACTTACATACAGATATCAGCTTCTCACACGTCTTTCGCTCTCAATGTTTCTCACTCGTTGATTTTAATGTTCTCTCACTAAAAAAAAGGTATTCTTCAATTCGTCTATACGTGGGTACGAGAGAGCATTTTGGATTCCCTGTAACTCTCCACAAAAAGAGTATCTTTACGGAGAGGACCGATGAATTTCACAATGAACACTGAAACTCCTGTTGTCTCGGTAGGGTTATTAAAATCCTTCATCAGTTGTGTCATATTGTCTCACAGAAAATCGTAAAGGCACTTTTTTATACAATGCTACACTGAATTTCCAGGACTGAATACAAGTTTGTTTACATCTGAGGGCTGGTCGAGAGAGACACTGACCCATAGGACAGTAACGTAGGCGTCTGGCGTAGTAAAGGCGGCGCTGACGACCAGATAATCACCCTCATGGCTCGAACAAATAACAGTTACGTTCTTGAATGTACAGAATACCGATTTAGTTGTTTTAGTCTCTACAAAATGTCTTGGCTATTGTGGATCCGGCGCTTTATGCTGTTAGGTTCTCACACCAACTGCGGCAGCATTCTCACACCAACTGCGGCAACGTTCTCACACCAACTGTGGCAACGTTCTCACACCAACTGTGGCAACGTTCTCACACCAACTGTGGCAACGTTCTCACACCAACTGCAGTCACGTTCTCACACCAATTGCGGCAAAGTTCAATTGTGAGATCGATATAGTTCCACGGTCTAGAGTCTCCGTTTAATCTCGACGCCATTGTACCACAGATGCGTTCTTACATCCACCGGGAGATCTTAAAGTAGGAACCAGGCTGTGCAGATTATTGGAACATTTTCTTGACCCAGACAAGTGACTTTTGAAATTTACTTGCCCGGATTTTTTTTTTTTTTTTTTTTACTTGCCCTGGAAAATTTTGGAGAGGAAATTTGCTTGGCCGGATATTTATGGGAAAAGTTGGATAAAAATCTTAAAACACTAATTTATTGGGTGTATCAACTCACAGATCACTTGTGCCCGTCTAAATGTTTTCCGTGGCGGTAACCCTTGCCACGTGATGTCATAACTCCCTCCTGTCACCTCACGTCTACCGCCTCTCAACTTGCTTGTTCCTTTGATATGTTGAAAATCTGACCGACTGGCTAGAGGCGAGTTTGCGGCTTAATGTAGAAGTGATTTACCTGAACTTGACAAAGATCACTAATCCTGGTACACTGATGACCTCCCAGGTTAAATATGTACAGGTAGGTTGAGCTCACACAACACCTGACAAATCCCCATCTAGGTATTTATCTAAAAAAAATAGCTTGTCCACGAGGGAAGTGCCGGACACATGGACATGTAAAACACTTGCCCGACCCCCTAGTCCGAGCATGTTGGGCACTGCCAATCTGCACCGCCTGGTAGGAACCCAAGAAAACTCTGACCTGATCACGTAAGGTAGGTTAGATTAGGTCTGTATAGATGAAGTGACGAACGTTTTAGCATTTAACGTTTTAGCCTTGAACGTTTTGGCGCTAAACATTTTACTCTCCAACGATCCCGAATCAAATATATCATAATCTTATAAATTTCATTAAGACGTAAAAATAAAACAGTACAATGTAATCGTGTTTATAAGTGAGCTGCAGGGTGTGTCAATAAATGTCTACACACTGCTTTACAGACTTTGGTGGCGGTCGCGTGTATGTTTACAATACAACAGCAGCATTTTTCACCAGAACGTTGGGCGAGAGACCTCATGTATCAACAAGTGAAGACAATGTTGCTGCTGTAATGCAAACAATCAAACGGTCGTTACGAAAACCTGTATAAGGAAATGTGTATTCCATTTTTGAGACACTGTTTAAAAGATATAAATTAATACCGAATATAAATTAGACTACTGGAACGGGTGATTACAAAATGATCTTCACGATTCTCAACATTTATTATGAAAAACAAAAGACTTTTTTCTCTGGGACTGAGATGCATTGAATCCTAATACAGTATAGGAAGACAGGAATCACCCTAAACAACCTCGGTCATGTGAAAAAACGGTTATATCTGTTACACCTGCACTGTCTATATACACGATGACCCAATGTAAATTTGTAGTGGTTGTTTGAAATATGTTAGTAGTGGTGGTTTAGGGTAGTGGTGGTTTAGGGTAGTGGTTGTATGAAGGGTGTTAGTAGTGGTGGTTTAGGGTACTGGTTGTATGAAGGATGTTAGTAGTGGTGGTTTAGGGTAGTGGCTGTATGAAGGATGTTAGTAGTGGTGGTACAAGGTAGTGGTTGTATGAAGGATGTTAGTAGTGGTGGTTTAGGGTAGTGGTTGTGAAGGAAAGATGTTAGTAGTGGAGGTTTAGGGGTAGTGGTTGTATGAAGGATGTTAGTAGTGGTGGCTTAGGGTAGTGGTTGTATGAAGGATGTTAGTAGTGGTGGTTTGCATGTAGGGTTGTGGGCTTTAAGATGTTATAGTGGTGGTTTAGGGTACTGGGTTGTATGAAGCTGATGTGTTAGTATGTGGTGGTCGAGGGGGAGTGGCCTGCATGTAATGATGCTAGTAGGTGGTACGTTGCAGTGGTTGTATGAAAGATGTTAGTGAAAGATGTTTAGGGTACTGGTTGCGGGCGAATGATGTTAGTAGTGGTGGTTGCAGTAGTGGTTGTATGAAGATGTTAGTAGTGGTGGTTTAGGGCAGGTTGGGTATGAAGGACGTTAGTAGTGGTGGTTTAGGGTATTGGCTGTACGAAGGATGTGCGTAGTGGTGGTACAAGGCAGTGGTTGGTTTGAAAGTGACGTTAGTAGGAGGCTTTAGGTACTGCTGTATGTGAAGGATGCTATGAGTGGTGGCTTTAGGGTACTGGTTGTATGGGGAAGGATGTTAGTAGTGGTGGCACAAGGCACTGTTGTATGAAAGATGTTAGTAGGTGGCTTAGGGCACTGTTGTGGCGAAGGATGCTAGTAGTGGTAAGGCCGCTGCAGTGGCTGTACGAAAGATGTTAGTAGTGGTGGTTTAGGTGCAGTGGTTGCATAATGATGTTAGTAGTGGTAAGGGCTGCTGCAGTGGTTGTATGAAAGATGTTAGCAGGTATTTAGGCACCTTGTATGAAGCTGACGTTAGTAGTGGTGGTTTAGGTGGCGGTTGTATGGTATGACGTTAGTAGTGTGGTTTAGGTAGTGGCTGCATGGGCCGATGTTAGTAGTGGTGTTTAGGGTACTGGTTGTATGCATGATGTTGTAGTGGTGGTTTAGGGTAGT